ATCCATTGGGTCTTAAAAAAATATTTGTTTATCTGAAGTATATTTTTGATTTAGCAACAGGAAATCGTTAGGATTTCTTAAAGTTAGACATTGTTAATTGAACCGATGAACAAATTTAATAAAAAAATAAGTAGATTGAAATAGGACAACATGCAGGTTAAACGTGCACGATATTTAATCGGTTTATAATCACTACTATGTTGTATATGCGTAAGAAAACATTTTCTAAATGACTATTAGATCACTACTGCCAGATAACATTCAATTTTACTATCACTTTATTAGTCTGACGAGTACAATGTACGTTGAATGATATTAATTATTATTATTATAAAAGTCCTGCGCATTACAATGTTATACCTATCTTAAAGTGATTGCAATTTGGTACCTGTTCTTTTTGGGGACACTTTATTTTGTGTTACTTTACAATATTCCAATTTTTATTTATTTAATTTTTGTCAAAGCTCCGTTAACTTTTAAAACTCAAACGGTTACGCGTATATATTCAATTAACTTTTTTGATGAAAAATAATTTGCCTATCATTCTGACTGGTCGATAACCAGTTTTGGATAATTACTTAAGTTTAAAAGTAATAATCCAAAACTAATTATACATATTCAACCCCTGGTTTAGGATTTGAAATCATTTTCAATTTTATTCGGGTTTTAGTTTTAACCAAGCTCCGTGTACAACACTTTTTGACTCCTCGGTTTTTTGACATTTGATAAACCGATGACTCCAAATTATGTCTTGGTTACAATATTTAGACGGGTCACATACCATAACTCACGAAAAAGACAGATAATCTATGTATGTATGCTGTATATAATTGCTTAATATATTTAACAATCATCAAACATCTATAGTTATTGTAAATTTTAAGTAAAATGATATAGTTGAAGCGACCATATTATAAAATATGTCCAACTATATTTTTTTCGAATTAATTTTTTTTGCGTGCTTTATATTTCAGAGATAAAACATGATAGATCACGCCTGTCTTACAAAAAAAAAAATGTACATCAAATAATTTTTGTTAAAAAAAAAGGATGGCCATAGTTCTTTATCACTGCATGACTTTTACCTTTTAAGGTTATCAGTTTTGTACAAATTTAAAAAACCTTTCAGGTTTTGGTTATAAAATTTCTTATCTGAAGATATAATCATTGTAGTGTAACCTGCAATTTGCAAGTCATAAAATAATAAATGAAAGTAACTGGGAAATGGGAACAAAATAAATAATAAAGTTTAATAAGTTTAAATTGCTTAAAGTTTTTAATTGGGTAATTTAAGTTTGGAGATCTTTTTAGAAAATAATTTTAATGGTTTGTATGTATTATAATGCTTATAAAATAAATTCCAAATAGAAAAAATAATTGAATATGTTTAATGGAATTCTTGAGAGACTTGGCTTGTACTGTGCATTGTATAATATTTATTTTAATTTTATTTGTAGTGGTTATTTAATTTTTAATTACCCTAGCTAGTATGTGTGTGTGTGTACCTAATTTTATGAATATATTACATGTGCCCATAAGCACATTAATAAATACACTCAACACGGTGTAAAATTAGTTAATTAAGCTCATAAGGGTAATAACCATTGCATCGCAGTCAGCACATCACATCACTGTCCTAACAGTTATGTTTACATTCTTCCAACCGAGGGAGGTAAACGCAATGTAGCCGAACTAATACGAATAATAACATTACACTATACAACGTGTAATACATGATAACATAAAAAAAAACATTGAACTCGAATTTAAAAGGTGTTTCTAATAATGATTTCGGTTTGAAATCCAAAGTATGAACACTCAGGTCACCGAAAATGATTATGAACTTGATCAACTATAGTCATTATTAAACTTCGTTAAGACTGCGTAAATTAACATATTGTAGGTGTGGACTCTAAGCTGTTGTTGTAAGACAATAAAAACACACACTTGAACATTATTGGTACGCATGATCTTAATTTGAGTTTTTAATTTCTGTGTTTGTAAACATTGTTGTTACAGTAAACGTGATATGTTTTTACATAGCTATACTTAATGTGCGCTCACGTACCGCATGAAAGGTCTAAATTCATTAAATAAACACAACGGTAAATGTTTCTACCAAAGCTTCCTTTAACGTCTGCCATTATGTTTTCATTAAGTCACTAAACTGAGCGCACGAAAATTAATTCAATAAGAACGTCGCAAAAGCCCATTAATTGTATGTATATGCGAACACCAATAAATCATTATAAAAAATCATTACAATAATACATATAAAAAACAGACAATAAAAATTATGTGAGTTGCTATGAATTACTGTTTGTATTGCACTTATTTAGAAAAAAAAAAATAGATGCGATCACGGATGTTGTTTGCAGCGTAAATAATTCACAATAAAATTATTATTTTGATTATATTATGTGAAACGTCGAACACGTTTCAAACGGTAATGCTTTTGATTCCAACAATGTGACCTTGGTATAAAAACGTCAAAAGTTAAAGCGTAAATCATAATTTTTAAAAATAAAATACCTTCCGGCATCCATTCATTTTTTTTATTTAATAACAATTAAAAAGCGGCATTTGTAGGACTGTCAAGCTGATATGAATGCGTGTGCTGATGCCTAAAATCTGGAACAACCTTAAACGACATCATAGTGTATAAGCTATAACTGAAGTCCTTAAAAAATACTTGTGGCCTAGAGGTGAATTAATAAGAGCACATTTTTGACGGAGTGTTCCATAATACGGATGATTTGACTAGAACTATTAAGTCAAAAAGTATATTTTTACAAATTTGTTTCATCCCTGTGGTATTGATATCGATTGAAGAAAAATTGCTAATATCAAATAGCTTTACTGGCAGTAACGGCAGTGTCAGGCCGGAATTTATTATTTCATTTAGTACTGCTATAATAATAATTATTATACTGTTATCTATGGCTGTGATTCAAGTGGACCAAAACAACATGTTAAGTAGTACTCAAATGGAGCTCAGGATTGAGTATTATTAAAGAATAAATAAGCACAATAATAATTTATCGAGCAAGTGTACTAGGAAACAGTTATCGTCGCTTGTAGTTTGCACAGTGACTTACTTACTATAAGTAAGTTATACCTAGTAGTCACGATTCATGAGATTTATGTCGTCAACTGTCGACACCGCACCGTTAGGAATCTAAGCTTTGTGTAATAATGAATTTGTATTTTTTTCTTCTGCACAGAAAAGAGAATTTTATTAGAGGCAAACACTGTTTCAACAAGCAGTTAAGAAGTATTAACAGTCCAATCCAAATTTAACACATATTTTTATGCCTATTAACAGTGAAATTGTTGAGAAAAAATATAGTATTCCTCCCCCCCCCCCTTAAAAAATTAGTATAAAATTTATAATAATTAGTAATATTTTATATTTTGTTGTTATGCACCATTTTATAAAAAAAATATACAAATACTTGCTAATTTAATTAATTCTCCGTTAATTCGGCCTTGGACGTTATTTTTTATAAATAAATAACATTTATAAATCCAGTATCAGTAGTATAATTTCTTGCATTACAAAAAAAACATGCAATTAATTAGTATTATGCAGATATTAATTTGCTAATGGCTACTTTGCATTTAAGTCCAGATAGAGATTTTATGTTATTTATTCATAGTATACTAAAAAAATAATAAGCGGTTTTGTTATTTAAATTTATTACCTTTTCAGTTTTCCTACGGACATTGACCATTGTACAAGTACGTATTATATTTCCATTAGCAAAAATCGTTGTATTTATTTTTCTTAGGTTTTAACGTTCGGATTTTTAAATATTTAAATTAACTTAAACAACTAATAAACCTCTGTATCGCTCAATGACTAATACAACTGGTTGTTCTTCATTTTCTTTAATTATTTTCTAGTGTTTTAGCTTCGATTCGGAGCTTTGAAGGTACCTATTGTTTTTTACAATGATGTGTTCTTATTTTCTTTTGTGGGATCAACTTTTACTTTAACTGATTTCTACATACAGCAAGTCTATAAGTCAGTAATCGAACCTCTAAAAGGTATGAATTTTGTTGAGTCAAACATTTTTAATAATTCACCCCTTCCCCTTTAAAATCGAGAAAAAAAACCCTAAAAAATTACATATTTTTCATCATAAAAAAACAGCTATAACTTTTGTAATAATAGTACAAATAGTTTCAAATTTGTATGAAACATCATTTAAAAAAGGTACTATCTATAAAGTTGAAAAAAGTATCAACATTTTTTATTTATTTATATTTTTCGAGCGAAGTGTCAAGACTCAAGGTCTGAAATGTAGATCTGTAGTGGGGCTATAATTTACAAGATTTATTTAAAAACCTGTTGTCAATCTAATTTGTTTTATTAAGGAAAACACCAAAAATAAAGGAGACTGAAACACTTTGGTCGTAGTAAATTTCTAGGTTTCCTAATTACTATAAATGGGAAACAACGGCAACAAATTATTATTGTTGACCGATCAGATTAAGCCTAACCGTGTATCCACCCTAATACTCAAAATAATATAATTTTCAGCTCTATATTGTCACAACATAGCTTTTTCGATACTTGAAATTGGTATCTCTACAATCTACAAAACCTTACCGAAGCTTTTTTTTTTAGTGTGACCTTTATCGCTTTAAGTTTTAATAATTCCTGAAGACCTGTGATCTCTTTCGTACCAAGATAATCCGTCTCCGCTATGTCCCGAGTATTTTTTAATTAGATGATATATAAATTGTAATCACGGTTGATGGATAACGTCAACCGTTAAAATTTAATTAGCATTAAAAAGTTCAACGTGTTTTTAATCATTAAATTGGTGCTCATAAACTTTTTAATTATAAATTAATTTTTTACTCTTTTACTTGTTTGTAAGCGAACATTTTAATTAATTTTATCGATCAGTATATATATATATATATATATATCTTAAGAGATGTTAATTTTTTTTTTAATTTTAACTGTGTTGATATTTATTTTTTATTCTACAAAGCGTGATTATTATAATGAAAGCGAGACTGCAAGAATAATAATTATTTTTCTACGAATTAAATCTTCCGTCGGCAACATGTTACTTGTGTCCCCTATTACGATTTTGTGACTCGCGAACATATTAGATAGCGGATGACCATCCGAAAGTCGTGTCAGTCCGCCTATGCAAAAAGGACAATATCGTAATGTTTGTAAATGTTTATGAAGTTTGTATTATAAGCAGTAATGTTATACATGTATACATAATTTACATTATGATATTGCTCTTTTTACACAAATTTTTACAACTATTAAAAGCTCATCCTAAAATGTTTTTCCGAGGAATCGAATAAGTATGGCTAGGCAATTCTGTCGACTCGGATGACCTAAGGATTAAACTCATTCTGAAAAAAAAAAAAAACAATAGGGAAAAGTAATTGCACAACATTTTGCAATTATGTCGCCAGTCACAATTAGAGACAGCAGTAGTCGAGGAAAATATCGTCGCATCGATGCGTTGCACGATATTTACCGGGCACGCACGGTAGTCGTACGGTAATATTGTACAAGCCGGAACGCACACAATGTTGTAAGTTTATGGCGGCGGCGGCGGCGGTCAGCACGGTTGCCAACGTTGTCTCGTCGTTTTTGGTAACCGCACCGGTGGTGGTGGTGGTATCAGCTGCCTTCGCCGCCGCCGCCGCGCAACGTGATAAAGACGCACGCACACACACAACATTGTGATCGCGTTTTTGAGGTTATGTTATGTTTTGGAAGAGGGTTTTTGAATTTTTCAAACTCAACTGCGTAGTGCCGAAATTTCCGTATGGCCACCGTCGGGGCCTTTGCCGTCGCGAAAGTGTTTCTTACCCACCACGAATGGATACGTTTTTCAAGGATCGTCTGTTATTCGTCGTGGCCGGATGCACAGGAACGGGAAAGACAAAGTTAGGCGTGCGCCTGGCCAAGGCACTCGACGGCGAAGTCGTGTCAGCTGATTCGATTCAAGTAAGTTTTTCACAATTGTTTTCATCATCATAAATTTACATACACACTTGCATATTTCCCAAGCGAAACAAAAACCGAACGTACGAATTCAAACAATAATAACAATATTCCAATAATATCGTGATAGTGTGTGCGCTACGGCACGATATTATTCTTATCAGACCCGTGTGAACTCTGTGGCCGCATATCGGTTATTTATTTTTTATTTGAATAATAATTATAGGTGTATCCGCCGGGCCGGTCGTTTGTTGTACAATTATTGTAAATCTATACATTATCATTGTACGCACTATTACTTTCTATAAAGTCTATGTCACTTGCGCAGCTGTTATCTATGGTGTCGTTTATTCATTTTACTTTGATTTGATTTTCGTTTGCGCTTTCATTGATAACGGCCAATGATGAATAACAACACTAAAGTAGATTAAACATACATAGATGTACCACGGCATGTACTTTTTTGGCGACCTAAATATTGGTTGCGTCCATTTCGTTATCATAACGATTTCCGTATTTCATATGCCCGTAGACCATCTATATTGTAATATATTTGACCTACGACACGATTCACACAATAAGAAGGCGTATTGATTAAATGCAATGACTCATAATGATTGCCATATTGGAGCAATCGATAATAAAAACACGTTTTTTTTTTTAATTAACCGAAACTAATAGTCTTGTTTGCTTTGCTCGTTATTCTATTTATATAGAAAAAGATATTATGTCGTCGGTGTTTGAAAGATAATCGTCTCAGAAATTATTATTCTCGAACTGGTTAGGTTATTCAGTTTATGTGTGGTGTATTTGAAATAAAAAAAACCTCTATTAAACACAATTAGCCTGAGAATTATGTAAATTGGCCAACCCCAACTAAATGAATATTGTAGGTAAATATAAAGTTAATGTAGGTAGGTGCGAGATAAAATAAAACAAATCCATAAAATAATCTTTCCTTTTTTACCCACAATTTAAAATTAATAATTATTACTCAGTTTCCCAAGTAATACAAAAGTTACTTAATTACTACAGTCAAGTGTTATTTATGCATGTAATGAAAAAAGACCTACTATTTACTGATCGTTAAAACAAGATTTAGTAGATATTAATACTTGTTCTTATTATTAATTGATTAATGAATTCTTTTAGTTATCGGTCATTTGATCGGTTAGCTTCAATGCCTTTCTATCGCGACTTAATTCCTTTGAATCTCGGTATTTATTTTTCTCCGTCTTTTTAGCATCTGTGGTAAGCACTTAAATATTGGTCTACTTCTTCTAACCCTGCTAGGTTAGGTAAGTTAGCCTAAGTCTAATAATTATTTTATCATGACAAATATATAGTCACTATATCTGATCCCGTGGTTAGCTTTATTTAGGTAATAAGGGGATTGAAAGCGAGCAGTTTTTGAGGAGTTTTATATAGGCAATATTTAAGAAAAAAGTGGTTTTAATAAATTTCAATAATAAAACGTAATATCTTTACAAAAAAATCATTTTCTATAAAAACCTAGTAAAGTAGCCAAAGAACTCGTTTATCTTTAAAGGATTGAGTCGGGCCATCCTAAGTAGTAAAAACTGTTTAAGGATTTTAGGTCTAAAACATCAAGAATCATACCACCTCCATCCCCTTAATAACTATGTTTTGCCATTACTTAATTTATTCAGACGAAAATAGATGATTTAATATTTTATAGTTTCATAGTCAATGGTAATCTTCAATAAAATATAATAAATTTCGACCCACACCCACAAAACTTATCTACAAAATTATGCTGGCTTGATAACACTCTAATTCGACAAAAAATATTTTTATTAAACCGAATGAAATACATATTCTGCAAATAATTACGAAACGTTTAAATATTATTGGAAAACTAATAAAATAATGAAAAATTAAAGAATTGAATGTGTAATGTGTTGAGTTAGGTAGATATGTTAAAAATAAAAATGGTAATTGGTAGTTTTTATTGTAATTTATTTTTTATACTGAATTTTGGGCAATAGCATTAACATTTTTATATATATTGTTATATTATGTTACTGTCAAAGATATTTCAGTTAATATTAAGAAGACTTAATAAATAAAAGCTGACATTTTTGGTCAATGAACAAAATAATTTAATTTATTGATATTGCTGTGTGTTTTTATGCTATTTTTAACATTATTAACAATAGCTAGTCTTATCTTATCATAGCATAACCTGAACCATCAATGACGGGATATCCACTGATCATATTTTATTACAGTTCGATTTGATGGCCGATATAATAATGGCCTACCAAACTTTTTTTAAATTCAAGACTATAGTGTATTTATACTAAGCAGTTATTTTTAAGTAATAATTTATGTTCAAGTAGAAAATATTTTCCTTAAGGGTAGTTTTAGAGTAAACATTTTAAAAGTTAAATGTTAACCTACATATTTGATATAACAGAATTTGTATGTTAGAATATGTTTATAGATTTTAGTATTTTTTTTTAACACTTATTTTTTAAATAAATATTGAACAACATAGAACCACTATATTAATTGCTTTGTATAAAATAATTGTTTTGGGATAATTACTGGTATGTTGTAGCCGGGAAGCGTACAATATTACCAGTGTTATTATAGTTAATTGATAGTGGACGATTTATTTAAAGATAAAGCAATTGGGTAAAGCAATTGTTGGTTTTAAACGAGTTTCTGCCGGAAATTATATTAAACTATTTTATATCTAGTATGATTTATAGTATAATGAAATTATTGGCTTTACATGAATACTGGAAACGTTAACATAAACCAATGTACGATAGTGAATGAGTCTTATTTAAAAGAAAACAGATAAGAACATGCTATTGCTGAAATACCGATTATTTTTGTATTCACCTTATGATGAACATTTCCAATTCATTCACACGCCTTATACTAATTATTGTACAATGTTTTTGCATGGTCAGCAAAAAGTAGGTTCAAAGTCATCGATTCTATCAACGTATAGTTTTCAATAATTAAAAAGCGGAAATCAAATGTTTTTTTCCTTACGGTTTTAATCGGGGCAATAACGTTCATAAGAACTTATTAGCATTATTATGACGTATGTTCACTTGGATGTTTCTTATAATGAGGAGGCAATGACTTGGATGTAATATTTTTTATGTCTAATCTAAATTGTAACGTCTAGTGGTTTTTAAAAGTAAAATGTTCCAGTATTCTACTGTGGCTCACTTATTATATTAGCAAATTTATATTTATTTTTAGCTTCGATGCGTTTTAGTTTTGTTGGATATTTTCTATTATAATATAAGTAATAGTAATGGTTATATTACAATTATGTGCATTTTGTTTTGCATCGGTGAACTGGTTTTCAATAGATTCGCGTGGTACAAAACCTCTTTAGTTTTTAGACTGGACAAGGCCCTTGTCACAAGGATGTGATTAAAGTAGAGGCCAAAGGGTTAGGCAGGATTAGAAGCAGTTTCCCACTGGGTCGATTGTTTTAGTAGGTCGTTTATAGATGCTAGGTAAAAACTATAATAAATATACTAAATTTGGAATAATAGTTTTGGAAAATGTCTGTTGAATCACTTTTTTTAACTTAGTAATTATCACAGACAGTTGAACAAATTGAACAAATTGTCCATAAGTCATAACTATACTTTTACTATTCTTTATTTTCTAAAAAACATCTATTTTTTTAAAAATTTTAAATTAAATGAACTTGTCATATTGGTAGATTGTTAAGTCTTTAGCCAACCCTTGCGAAGTATAACTGATTTTACCTCATACATTTAGTCTGTTAGGTAAAATAACTAAAAAAAATACATAGGGTAATTCGATTTAACGTTTTAAGGCACTCATTTTCTCGGAAAATAATGATAATTTTATAGTTTTTCTTTGTAAAAACATTAAATTTTATATAACACGCTACTAAATTTGTATTTTTTTTAATAATCTCCAGAACGCTATTCAATTTTAAAAATTAGAATAATTCGACGAAAATTACGACTGCTCGACCAATTTTAAACAATTACTTTTAAAGTTTGCTGGCTTAAAAAAAAAATCATGATTTTGTGCAAGTTACAAACGGTCGTTCTTTGTAAAAGTGGTTAACTCTAAACTTTTACAGTATACATATTTTTGCTTAATGGAGTCACATTTGGTAAAAAAGTTTCGTTATTTCAAAATTCAATTACCATGAGTTAATTCACTTTTACAATGAACGACCCAGATAATGAAAGATTTGACTAAATGTGTCTCAATTAAACAAACATTTGAATATTTAAGAATTTTAAAAAAATTGGAATTCACACCACATTTACAATGAACGACCAAAATGTGAAAATGTACCAAAGTTAAATTTTGTACGGTACGTTTATATTTTTGACGTTTAAAAAACATGCATGTATTTCTCCAGCGACGAGGTAGAACCATTTAGACGTAATGAGTGTATGAACGTGTGTGTGTCAGTGTATAACAAAAATAAAACATATGTGCTGTGTTTGTTCGTGATTGTGCTGACCATATGACGGTAGTGTAACATGCATGTACAGACTTAAGCATTGACACATGTTTGACGGTTAAATTCTCGACAGCGAGTTGGGATTATTTTTCATATTCGTAATGACACTTAGGCGTTTGTAAATATATATAATATATATACACATTTTTATACATTTTACATTACACGTTTCATGTCTCTATATAACTTTTACGGTGGCTTGTAAAAAAAAAAACAGTAATGGGACACAAAAAAAACTTGTCCAACGTTTCATTTTTTACATAATGGCAAGTACCTAATCAAAATAAGAACTAGCAGATAGATTGCTATTAAGTAATTTATTTTTAATTTACTTGTTATATAATCGGTTGTAATGTTAAAAATTTAAGAGAACATTTTTTTATGCCTAAGATTAACGACTGAACGGTCCAAAAGATTTTTGAAGAAAAACCAACGGCCGTTTAATTAAGATATGGTTGTCGTTTTTTGTATGTATTTTTTGTCTACCTAATTATTA